GGTGCATCATATAATATTCATCAATTAATTTTTTGATTCATGCATTGCCACAGAACTTTATATGATAACAATAGGCAGGACCAAAAATAAGATAATAGATTTATTAGAATTTATGAATATTTTAAAATGAACATATTCATTATCTTACTTTTATCTTCTACTACTTACTCTTGTTGCCACCATTATGATCAGGGAAATTTGCTTCTATCATATTACCACATCTTCTAATTATATGATTGAATTTATATAGCCAAAATTGTCACTTGTTCAAATTCTATATCACAAACTACAGTTAATATCATATATAGAGAAGATAGATATTCAAAGTTTTTTAGTAGTTATTCTGTTTTTTAAAGTATGATTCCAAAATTTTTTAATAATTAATTTTTATAATCTGGAAGTATTATTTAATATCACAAGTTATATTTCTTTATAGATATCTAGATATATATCATAATTTCAGTTATTAATTGATTATTTACTCATTACAATTTTATATTTATTTATTTTAAAACTATAAATATTTGCTATATTAGTGTATAACTTTTATTTAACATATTTTAACTAATATAAGAAAGTATTTCACAAATTTTTTTCTCAAATTTTTTTATATTTATATATTAAAACTCTAGATTAATATATTTAAAATGAAAATCATGGTGTAAAAACTTTTCTCAATGAATTTATCAGATTATTTAATTTATTAAGCCAAGATTAATCTTTGATATATATAGTTAAAATTAATATATTTGAAATCATTATCTTTTGCATAAGTTAATATTAATATTAAATATTTATTTGTAATTCGATTTTTACTTATTTCATAATTTATCATATAATTAATAATTTTATATTTAAGAGTGCCTGAATCTATTTGAAAATTTTAATTATATTAGAAATGAAGAATAACTTTCACTTTAGAAAGTATTTATTATTTTATTTATAAAGTTATTAATAATAATTTTAATATAATTCTCATTGTCTCTCTTTTATCTATTTTCTTTCTTCTGCTAATATTTCATTAATCAGATTATTTTATAAATTAATCAAAATATTTATTTTAATAACTATAGTAATAATTATAATTAATGCAATAAAAAAAATTTTTATTAATTGAAATATTTTGCAAAAATTATAATATTTTGATAATTAAAATCCTAATAGATATTATTATTTGCTATTTTTAGATATATATAAAAATAAAATCAAACTTATATTATATTATTTATAATTATCTCATGTAAAAATTAAATAATCATAATTATATAATATAATTATTATATAAAGGATAAGTTTATTATGTATTATTTATATATTATATAATATTATAGCTTTTTGAATAACAAACTAAAACATAAAGATATTATACAACTTCACAAGAAATTCTTTTTGCTCTTTAAAATTAATATATTATAAGATAAATAATAAAGTCAAAAATATCAGTTTCTTAATAATCTTTTATACTAATAAAAGATAATATAAAATGTATTAAGAAAAAAAGATATGAATATATTTTTATTTATTATTTATTATATAATATTTGATATCTGAAATAAAATCCTATCTAAGTAAAAAATATTAAAAAATGTGATTAGAATTTACACAAAATCATGAAAATTAAACTATTGAAGATTGATTGAAAATTATATAATCTGACAAGTTCAAATTTAAAATTTTTGATTTAAATAAAAAGTAATATTACTGAAATATCCAGAAGTGCTATTAAATCAGTTTTATATTAAGTTTACAGTAAATTTGAAGATGAATTAGTAATAATTTGGAATTGTTTTACATTCTGAAATATTAATGACTTTTGTAAGATTGATGATATCATGAATACTGAATTATATTAATAAATACTTTATAAAAATCTTATAATTGCTATTAAAGATCATGGATTTACTATTAAAAATATCATTTTTCAACAAGATGGAAATTCCAAACATACAGAAATTTTGACAAAATGATGATTAGGAATAATGAGTTTGAGTTTTGGATTGGTCATCACAATCTCCTGATCTAAATCCCATTAAGCATTTATGGAATGAGATTGATCATCATTTCCAGTGTAAATTTTGGATAAGAAAGACAAGATACAACATATTTGACAGGAAATTGATATTGAAATCTGTACCAACCTGATCCAGAAAGAATTCGTGGTGTAATAAAGGCACGAGGTGGTTATATAAGATGATAGAATAGACTGAATTCTACCTAATATGCATGTTTAAATAAAAAAATTAGTAGTTAATTAAGTTTAATATGTCATATTTTATTATGTACAAAAAAAGAAAAAAAGTAATGCAACAGTACTTAACAAATAAACGCGTAATTTGCGGGATAATTATTTTATGCATCCATATTTAGTTTTGATAATCTAAAAACTATACTTTTACAAACAAAACCCTCAAATTTGCGTGAGATATTTTAATAAAACAAAAATTATCTTTTTGTATGATCGTCACCGTAAAATCTTTCAAAAGGAATCCATTCGAATAATTGACTCAATAAATTAATTTTATTGCATCCTTTATTAGAATGTCGATGTCTTTATCTCCGCTAGACAATTCATCGTCATAAATTCCTTTAGCAGTATCTATTCTCTTGACAATCGTAATATTTTACTACAATTATGAGTATTGTGAACTAAACACTCATCGTAGTATTATCCGTCTGACATTCAGTTCATTCTTTTACAATGATGAGTATTGGTTCCACCTTTGAGTTCATTTTTATATCTGTGAAGTTCAACCTAGAATATATAAGTCATTACTATCAAGTAATCATTTGTAACTGGATTTTTAGCTATTTCATAATATGCTATCGCCGTAATCATAACATTAAGCTACAGTTTGAGTCAATTTTTGAAAAATTTAATGTTTCAGAAAAATAAAAAGCAACATTCACTTTGTAAATAATTTCAGCACACAACTTTCCTTTTTGTTCAAATCCATATTTTCCATGATTCAATTTGTAATCCAATGACCAGATTGCTTTATAAATTCAAAACCTCCTCTTACAAGACATTCAACGTTGATAATTTTTCAAAAGGAATATATTTGAATAATTCATATTCTTTAGATTTAACAATTTTCTTGCATTTTTTATTAGATTATCGATATCTTTATTTCCGCTGGAGAATTCATCTTTATAATTCATTTGTAATATAATAGCCATTTTTTTGAAATATTAACATTTGCTACATTCGTTAGCTAAATATTTATCGCAGTCCTCATTCTCTTTGATATTTTAGTACATTTACTACAATGATAAGTATTTTCTTCCATCTTTAAGTTCACTTTATGTCTATGAAATGACCATTACTTCAAGTAATCGTTTGTGACTGGGTTTTTGGTCATTCTATAATATGCTATCAGATTGTCGTAATCATAACATTTAGGCCCAGTTTGAATCTATTTTTGAAAAAAGCAACGCTCACTTTAGAGAATGCTCATTTTTTACTTCATTTATAAATTCTTGAGTAATTTGCTTTGAATTGCATAATGATTTCAACATCATTTCTCTTTCACTTCTTCGCTTAAATTTATTTTCTTCATGATCCCATAAATAGTCATTATCATAATCCAATGGTCATCCAGTTAGGATGCTTTATAAATTGATCCAAAATCTCCTTTTGCAAGATATTCAAAGGAATCCCATTCAAATATCTATTATTTATAGTTAATTTTGTTGCATTTTTTTATTAGTTTGTCAATATCTTTGTATCCGCTAGACGCGTTATAAATTTTTTTATGATAATTGAACAGTCACCGCAGTATCTATTCTTTTGACATTCAATACATTTGTTACAATTATGAGTATTTTGATTTCATCTTTCAATTTACTGGAAACGATAACGATAAAGTTCGATCATAAAAATATGTAGTATGATTTTATCAATATGAATAAATAAGTATAAATTGCAATTATTTTCGCAATTATCCGTGTGGTATACTAATATCGTATGTGCTTTTTATCACCAATGAAAGATAATTGATGAAAATTAATAACAAATATAAAGTAAACATTCGACTGGTGCAAACCTGCATTTGGGTGGATTTGTTGTTTTTGTTCGTATTCGTAGGTATGCTCTTTTGTAATTTTTTAGCTCGTCAGAAACTCATTTCCAAGTTGTAATACTAAATTTACACATATAATGTTTGCTATTGTAGTTCGTATTCCTTTATCACCAATTGCAATTTCGTACATGAACATTCCAAAGCTATAAATATCTGTTGCTGGACAATTTTTTGATTATATTTTGTTGGAATGTACAAACTCTACTCTTCTTTGAATTATTGTTAGATTATTCGACAATCTAATATATACATTTTAATTTGTCTTCCAAGCAAATTTTTCGTAGTTTTGAATTAATAATTCAAACACGATTTTTGCGTCTCCTTTTCGTAGTTTCTTTATGAGCCAATTTGTAATCAAATAGTTCATCCAATCAAACTGCTATATAGGTTGACCGAAACCATCCTTTTGCAAGATATTTAATCGGGCATAATAACACTACTTTCCAACATGTCCCACAGATTCCTATGTTTTTTTAAAATTTGGTAGTAATTGTAAATGCATATTATGACGATTTTTCAAATCATACAAAGTTTCTTGAGTATACATGTACAATAAGTGCTGTTTGAATAGCTCAATATTTAGGTACTCATACTTCTTTTAGAAAAGTTGCTGTTATTTGTAAAAATACAACGATAATTTATTCATCTTTCTTGGGCAGATAGCAACTATTTTCTGGTGTGCACCTGGGGTTGTTATTTCTGTCATGTGTAATTTTATGTGCACGTACATGGACTGGTACATGTATTGATGTACTATACATGATGACTTAAATACATTCATGTACAGATTTTTGCATGTGCCAATTTATTTGTCACTAGAAACTAAAAATTAAAGCTACATGTACATGTACATGCACATGTATTAACAAGTACGCACATATATATGCATTATTATTAAAACACCCATGGATTTACCATAATTCACACTAAACCAGCATATCGTGCCTCGAAGATAAACGCCGGATCTAACTTTTCCGCAATCCTCAATGCCTTCGTTCTATTCTGTGAGATGTTGATCGCAAAATCACCAATAATGGGAGCAACCATCTCGTATAAACCCGAATTGAATAACTTCTTTGCTGGCGACATCTGCCCGAGTCTCGAGTGTTGAAGAGCCAACGATAAAGCGAATTTGCTCGAGTGTTCGTACATGTTATGCTTTTTCAATAGTTCGTATATCTTTTGGAGGATTGAAACAGATTTCGATGTATTGCCAGTCAATGAGTATGCCTTGTCGAGTGCGTGTACGAGCATGATTGAAGAGAAATCTAAGTCATGTTCTTTTCTAAGTGAACTTAGCTCTGAAATCATATTCTCAAGTGCCTTGATTATGAGAAACAACTCATAAGTGTATATCTCCTGTTCCAAGAATATCTTTGGAACGATATGAGATCCGAAATGTTCCAAAATTTTTCTGCGTCGTAAATGTATTTCCAAAGGTTCGGCGCGTTCTATTTCGCATAACCTGCATTTACACCGAATCCCAAACTTTTCAAGCAAATGGGCACGTTTTTCATAAGCAAAGATCGGGCTGACATATGAAAATGTCAAATCTTCATCTTTAGAAATAGCACGTTGCGCACGAATGAACATCAAATCTCCTAAATATATACGTTCAGCATTGGTATCGATGCACGAGTGATTGAAATATGAAGGATCTAGCCAAAGACCCAATCCATTAATATCAACATCAGTTGTAGAGGATCGTTTAAAGAGAGACCCAGAGCCATTATCTTGTTGAAACGCATTATAGAGGAGAAGTTTCTCGATTCTTTTTATATCCACGGTCTTTAGCAAATGCTCGTCCAGATCTTTTCCTGGAGTCATATCAGGACCGACATGCAGTTGATAAATTTCATGACCAAGTTCTGGCTCGTCTCGTAGTTTTTGAGCAATCGGTGGAATCAAATAAGAAATATCAGTCTGAATTTTATTTCCAAGTATAAAAAAGTTAGGCGTTTCTTGTTCAAAGACAATCTCAAATGCTTTAGAAACCATTAATAAGGTGTGCTGTGGTATGTCTTGTTTAGAGACCCATTTACGACCCTTTGCACCTCCTTGTTTCAATTCGATCGCACCACTGATGTAGTCGGCATGATTCAATCTTGGTCCTCCAGCGTGCACCCAGTCTTGTTCACAGAAATCTTCTACAATTTCACTTTGCTTCAAAAATTCATTTATTATGTTGACATAGTCATATTCTCCATGCTTATTTTCAGAATTCATCATTTCTGACTGTTTTAAAAATTGTTCAACCTCTCTCCTGATTTGTCCGTCGAAAGAATTTCTCGATTTCGGTCGTTTAAGCAATTCATGGAAGACATTTACCGCTTCTTCATACCGTTTGAGATTGAGAAGAGCTTTGCCTTTTCGGATGCTTGCCTTAAGGTGTTTAGGATCTAGTTTCAATGCTATCTCCGTATCCATCAGCGATTTTTCGAACTGACGCGATCGCAAATATGCTTCCGCTCTATTCGCATAAAGGGTGACATTTCGCGGATCCAATTCGACTCCAAGCGAATACATTCTCACGGCTGACGCGAAATCACTCATTTCAAAGTATTTATTGCCGTATAATCGGTAATCATCGGCTGTTTTATTTTTATTCGTTTTCGATTTATTTTTCGAGGCCTCCTCTTTGTCCGATTCCCATTCAATCTCACTTAACAAACTGTCATTTGGATTCACGATAGTAATCTGATCCGGATAATCAGAACGAATCAAAGAGAATCCATCCTCTCCAATTTTGTAATATGGATTTTGAACCGCGATGATTGTACCAATTGGAAGAAGTTTAGAAACCTGATCAACTGACAATCCACTTGCTGGAATTGTGTTTTTCGGGAGCCAATTGTACATCGAGATACGCTCAGCGTCTCCCTCAGGATCTTCGATGACTGTGGAAAGCGCCACGGATTTTGCGCATTTCGTGATTACACGGCACAAGAGAAATCGATTTTCATGGAATGTATTGATCTCAAGATCAGAGATTGAAAGTCGATTTGCAGGGTGAAGTTGAACTTTTCTGTTCGTTCTGTTTTGCTCAACAAAATCACCGTTGATGGTTGGTTGGTAAGTGTAGTAAACATTGGTTTTGTATTCTTCGAGACATTGTAACCACTTTTCGTGCTGGGAGATTAACTCTTGCCTGGAACGACGTTTGTTACGTCCCATTGATTGGTTTATAAATTTATTTCTCAAGATATCTTCAAAAGAACTCATTTAATAATATTATTGGATATTGGATATGAATAATAATATTAAATAAAGAAAAGGAAGTAACCAACTTTTTCTTTCAATAATGAGTTTTATTATTCTAATATTGATGCACTTTTTTATATAATATGCCTTAATCAATTAATCTATCAAAACAATGATGATAATTATAAATAATTCTCACGCAACAGCTCACTATTATCTTTCTTACGCGAGCATTTTTTAAATTTTATCTAACGACAATATGGCTGTGCTCTGCTGCTCTTACTTATATCATAATAATAATGACGATAATGGATAATAATTGTCTTGACTTTATCAGGTCAGGAGTGCCCCTGATTTTTTTATCAATCTGTGTTTTACATGTGAGATGCAAGTTATCATTAACAACAGTGCGCATTTTCGCAACAGTTCTAATAAAGATAAGCTTTTCAGTTGCTAGCAAAGGAAATTCGATCAGAGCTGTGCCAATACAACTGTTTGAGCGAATCTTCACATCTGGCATTCATCATGCTTGAGAATGTGCACTAATCTTCTAGTCTAGCATACGTACACTATCTTTGATTCATAATGATTGACGCATTTTTTTTTTCAATTATTGGCGTTAGTGTATTTTCACCGCCGCCTCTGTTATACAAAATTCAAAATATTCTAGTAAAAATATATTAATTGATAAATACATGTTAAAGGGTGCTGAGTTTTGTACGCAATATTTTTTAACATTAATGACACAACGATGCAAACAAAAATTTACTAACTTTGATTTGCGTAACGGTAAAAAACACAAGTATAGATCATATACCAGATATAGTAATTAATCGTTAATTTTAACCAATAATGGTTTTTTTCATTCGCACATGAACTAGGCATACATGTACATGTATAACGAACACAGTTTATATGGATTAATATTCTTATCCTTAATAATAATAATAATCCGCGTAATGCTTATCATTATTTTAAGATTTTTTATAGCCAAAGAATCATACAATTATTCAATCATTCAATTAGCTCACAATAATATTACATAATTATATTTTAATCTTTTCAATTTACTTCTTTTTTGGTTGAATACTTGATTTACTCCTAGTTTTAAATTTTAATTAGTATTATATTAATGAATTGTGCTTGTACATGTATACTTGAATTCACAAGGAATAATTTCAATATAATCGGTATAACTAAAAATAGTGGTACGTGCATCAACCTTATTTTACAGTACAAAAGGAATGTACAGTATATGTCAGATCCCCATTCTTTTGTTTAAGGACAATCTCAATTGACCTCCTTATACTGGATTCTAGGTTTGTCGTAAACAAAAAGAAGATACCCCAATTTTCACTGCATGAAAAATGTGTATTTCTTCATTTTACATACACCGATTGTGGCTTTATTTACATTGGTTAATGAAGGGATATCTTTCTATTTTAGTGTAGACTTGCAACACCAATTTCCGTTTTCGATGCATTTTTGTTTTGAATTTTTCTTTTCTCTCCAATAACGACAAATTATCCCTGCAGTAGGAGAATAAAATGTGGTTATATATTGATATAAACTTTTTTATTTAGCATCAAATAAAGTGTGCGCTTCAAAGTTCTAATTCATATACATATACATGTATGTATGTACAGTTGGTTAGAATGATTTAAATTTGGATCGGCGAATCTAATAACCAAGATAGCATGTGAAATATTGTTCTCCGATTGGTTAACAATAGGATATAGATCGAAAAATTTGGAAATGAAAGTATTTTTTGCTTTCGGGATACATGTACATGTAAATTGTAATTTGGTAATTTTTTAGCCTGTTTCTACGAAACCTACCCTGTTTGTGACTAGTGAAGTTTTCATATATATATCTATATTGTGTATTTGTCAATTCTAGTTATTGAAGCTAAATTTTAAATTATCGGTGTAATGCTTAAAGTAATTTATTTTGAGAATTAAAAATAAAAGCATCTTCCTTACACTTTAGTAAATGTTTATTTCACCTCTTTTATTAACTTTAAACTAGGCAGTGAAATTTTAATAAATTGAATTGATTTTTTTTTTTTTGACATTTTCAACAATTAATGTGACGAGTATTTTTGATTCTAGTTCTGAGTTCATTTATAATATATTTTTAATGATATTGTATTAGATTTTATACAGCGCTTGAAATATGAGAAAATAAATTTATTAAACAATCGAAATGTATCATTGTTATTTTAGCATCTTTCTAATGTTTGTTATACAGCACATATTTTAGCTCATTTATAAAGCAAAACAACTTTCAAAGATTTATGATTGTTAGCAAATTTTCTTGAAATAATTTGTAGGAAATCAATACGTACGGTTGTTCAATACATTACTATGCTAAACAGTTATATAATTTATAAAACGTTAAAAGAAAGTGTAATTCTATGGTATGGGTAAATGAGAACCAACAAATTAATAATCTTTAAACTTATATATACCGTAAAATCGTTATTTTGAGACAAAAGGTTGATTGCCTGACCTGATTTTTGAGATAACGTTCATGTGCTTTGACATAAAAATCATATAAATATATTTCTTTTAAAGTATGCTGGTTTTCATTTTCTTGCTTTTATGTTTTTTTATTTTTTTATTTATTTTTTCCCCTCGTATTTCTATTGTTGTTTGCCTTGCATTTTCGTTAAGTCTTTTTTTTTCTTGTATTACACAGCGAACATGCATAAGAAAAATTTTTCGTTATTTTTTGTTTGTTTCGCGTGCAAGTTCTTTGCGTTTATTTACAAGCACAAAATCGACCGGAATCGAAGAATGATGACAATAAAAACAAAAAAAGTTCGAGACTGTGTCGAATTTATATTAAAATAATCCAGTTTATCAAGTTTACCAATGCTATATAGGGTGCGCTTTATTTCGGGACGCCCATAGGCGTTATTTCGAGGCTATGTATGCTATTATTAGAGGGTGTGATTTCGAAATAACGTCCATGCTCGTTATTTCGCGGTTTTATGGTATACATGTATATATTTCATATAACAAAGTGATGCCATATTCAGAACATGCGTCATTTTATTTTATTGAAGATCGAATTTCTCAATATCTTCATCTCAATATCCAATGAAAAAGAACAGGATAATGAAAGGATAGGCTTTATTACTTTGTGGTAGACGAGCATAAAAGTTCAATGGGTTTTATATGCGTACATAGCTTATAATAGAATCATAGTGGTTAGTCTCTTAATCGAACTTTCTGAATTACGAACGAATATGCTTTGTATATAAATTTGATTATGGGATCGGACGGAGATGTAAATAAATATTTAGATATAACAATAGTATTGTTAGGGTTATTTACTCCTTCTGGTAATTCATTGCTGCAACTCCTCTTATGTGTTGAGATTAAGAGGTAAAAGATGAAATAATTTTTACCGTAATTTGATACTCAAATTATTTGCATTTTGAGATCTAATAACGTTGAAAAACTTTTTTTATTATTTTTGAGATACTCATTATATAAAAATACTACATGTATGTATATATTGATATCTAGGCTAACAATACAATGTTGATAACAATGAAAAATAATTTCGATCTTAAGAAACCTGAGTGACATATTCTGTACATGTATTATTGATCAAATCTCGTTGTTTTACTATTGTTATCATTTCAAACATCCGTGTTCATACATCGATATAAACGCCCCCAAGATGGAATCGAATACTCATGACTGTATTAAACTTCAATATTGTCAAGAAAATAATTGCTATTATGATGTGTGTTCAGGCCAGAAGATTCATGTCTCTTAAAAAATCCATCAGGTCTTACTCAAATAAATTGGGATGTAAACAATGATCCTGACGAATGACGAAACCTTTAGTCAAGTAATTTTGTTTTGACAAATTGACGATTGATGAAATCTATTTTTTCTCTTTATATAAATTATTATTAAGTATAACTATTAGAATTATTTGTTAATATTATTAAAAGTAAATTTTCTAGTTATTGGTAAACAACATGTTATAATGGGATTTTTTGTCTGTTACCATGCATTAATAATGGCAGCATCAAAATTTCAAACTTTAATGATATACTCAACATTCTGACATTTATAAAAATACGTTTCTAAAGATACTAATTTTCAAAATAATATTTGTAGATAAATCCACAAATAATAAAAGGAATATCTTCTAACATACTTATAAAGAAAATTAATTACTTGAAATTAAATGTAATCCTTTTCATTTTTTTACTATTTGAAAAACCTCATAAACATCAACCACAAAATCTATCCGCTGAGATTATTCATCTAAAAGCCTATGTTCATAAGAATATTTGCAGCAATAATTACCTGAAATATTAAACAACATAAGTCACAACTAAACCCAAAACAAGGACCTTGCTTTGAATGGTTCCGTACATGTAATTTGATCCCATAATGTCTTCAGAATTAAAATTTATATAAAAAGCTGCCCTTTACTTCATCACCATATTCTTTATTAAGAAATTTCCATCCAATAGGATTATGACCACCGATAATTTTGTTAGAACCTTTGGTTGGCCCTTTACTATCACATAAATGGTGAAAATCGCTAGCAGTAAATCCATCTTGGCTGCGACGCAATAATAAATTAAATTCAAATGGATGATTTTTTTCCTTATCTTGTTCTTTAATCCATTGAATAATTTTATCGACTTGACCTCGAGAAAGAATTGTTGATATTGATTTATGAATGGGATGAAGTGATACTTGTTGTTCCTCACGTTCAGGTACCAAATGATAATGCAATAAATCGTTATAAGGCTTTTTTGGTAATATCTCCGAGTATGGCAACACTTTGTTATAGAATCAACAGAGTTTATTTGAAAGAAACGAATTAACGTATACAATTTTTAAGCGTAGAGCTGAGTTGATTGAATTCGTTTGTGACCATTGATCCACTGGAATCGATAAATCGGCATTGCCAGAAGCTGACGTTTGAGCGATTCA